ATGGAATTCTTGCACCTCAATATTTAATCATTATGTGTTTGTTAGTGGTTGCAATATCCATTTTGAATTCAGACACAATATCTTTATTCCAACTTGATGTTGCTCGGACTTTTTACACAAGTATGTTAAATCGTTTGAAAAATCTATATGGTCAAATGTACTGTTCTATGAATGTGCACCAATTATTACATTTACCAGACTGCGTTCAGAATCTTGGACCATTATGGGTATATTTGTTTTGAATATGAAGATATAAATATTAAAATTAATACACGGAACAGGGCATGTGATTCACAAGTAAGCAAATCAATAATCAAGAATTTATATAAAAAAGGAGAAAATTGAACGTATAAATAATATGGAGGTTAAACAGTTTTGCTTAAGAAAAAGAAACAGGTGAAGATAATAGAAAAAATATTTGATCATACATATAGCGTTGGAGCATACAAAACATTTAAAGAGTTGCCAAACAATATAGAAATGGCTCTTCGAAGCTCTGATATCAATTTTGAAAGCGATAAGCCTCTTCAATATTATCTCAGAGTTTTGAAGAACAACAAATTGTATGTTGCTGAAGCATACAAGAGTGACATGAAAACATATTCCAGTGCAATTTATTACAAATTCAATGACAAGTATAATATTGGATTTGTACATTATTTTATAGAAATAATTTTAAACACTTCGCTATTGTTGAAGAGTCTAATATCGAAGACAGTTTTCATGGCAGAGGTCATAAATATCACAATTATAATTATTCATTCATAAAAACATGTACAAGAAAAAAAAGCTTCATAGCAATTCCTATAAGTTCAATGCTGTATGTTTGTATATATATAAAAATTGGCAGAAACATTTATGTAGGTTTACCAATAAATGAATATGAATTAGGGTAAAAAATAAATATTCAAAATAATCGATTATGAATGTGTTAAAAATTAATTTATATGTAAATACTTATTAAATTTCATTATTTCAAAATGTTCATTATTATTAATTTATGTAAAAGCTTTTACGATTTTTCGTTTATTATATTTTTTATATAATATATTATATATATATATATACATATATATATATATATATATATTTATATATTATATCATATTTAAATTATTGATATGCAAAATTTCAGTACTACACTTACAGTATAAATTATGCTGTGAAAGTATTATTACATATTCACGCATCCATGTGTTAGATGCTTAACTTTAACATTCACTCAGTATTTATCACATAGATCAAATACCTCAACTCTGGCTAACTGAAATTAAATCACACGTTAATATAATATACACATATAATGATAACAACCAATAATCTTAAGTCAGGATATTTATTACCATTTAGATGTTTACGCCTCCGAGTCCAGTTAAGTAAGACCGAATATTTATTTATTTATTAAATATGACAAAAATACAATATGGCGACTAAAGTGAAGTGTGTACAAGTAACAGCATAGACTTGATATTGGTATCTATGCTGGCGCGAATATTCAAGTCGCCAACATTCGGCCATCCTATAATTACTCGTCCTCGAGTAAATAATCGTCCAATCTGGCTGGTTTACGGCTGTGACGTTGGGGACGACTCCTGGGTTGCCTTGGTCCTTGGTGTTCCTCTTCTCCCGGTCCAGTGTCCTCTTCTCCTGGTCCAGTGTCCTCTTCTCCCGGTCCAGTGTCCTCTTCTCCCGGTCCAGTGTCCTCTTCTTCTGGTCCAGTGTCCTCTTCTTCGTCGTTCATGGCAGGTGTCCAAAGTTTTAACTGTGACACATGAGCTGTGCTACGGTATCGTTTTCCCGTGGCATCATCCTGCATATCCACGATACCATATGTGTCTCCTGGTATTATCCTGTAGACCACCATTGGTCCACGATATTTCCGTTGTAACTTTACTGAATCGCCTGTTACGACTGGTGCGGTTTTGACATAAACAATGTCGCCTATCTTGAAATGCACATTTCGGTGAGCGTGCAAGTCATATTTCTCTCTGACTTTTATTTGTGTCATTTCAATGTTATTACGAGCATCTTCTTGCAATGCGGTTGGCTCTGTGTACCGTTCTTCTCGTTCTGTTAGTTCACGTAGTAGCCAATCATTCCGCCTCGGTGTATACCCATACAATAGTTCAAATGGGCTTCGTCCCGTACTTTTATTAAATGACGAATTTAGATCCCATGCTACTGTCTTCAGTTTCTCGTCCCAATCTTTGCCAGTCTCGTCCTTCAGGGTTGCCTGAATCACAGGTAGCAGTGTCCGGTTAACTCTCTCAACCTGTCCATTGGCCTGTGCATGACGTGGAGAGTTCAGGGTGTGTCGGATTCCATGCCTCGTGCAGAACTCCTCAAATTCCTTGGCCGTGAAGCAGGTTCCTCGGTCCGTTATTAACCTCAATGGGGCACCATAGGTCAGCACAAAGTCCTCCATCTTTCTAGTCGTAGTCCGTGCAGATGTATCTCGGCATGGTTCCAACCTCTTGTGGGGATTCCTCTCATCAACTGATTTGGATAATATTTCTATTTTTCTTTTCAGCAATGGGTCATGGTGTTGATATAATAACACCTCATCTTCTTCAGTTGTAATGCTGTAAACAGCTGCCACATCCTCCAGGTGTTCTATCGTAGATGCTTCTTCTGTTGTTGCTCTGCTTAACGCATCCACGTACTGCATCTTTTCGCCTGGTCTGTGCTCAATGTCAAAGCTGAATTCTGATAGTATGGTATACCACCTCACAATCTGCGGGTTGCTCGTTTTGTTCGCGTTCAGGAATACTAGAGCCTGGCAGTCAGTAACTATAACAAAATGCAAATTTATTAATAAGCTTCGTAGTCTAGTCACTCCCCATATTATGGCCAATAATTCTAATTTGCTAGAGTGATAATTCTTTTCTGGTTCGTTAGTTTGCCGGCTTATAGCATAAACTGGATGCATTAATTGGTCATCTCCTCTCTGTAAAAGCATGGCTGCCAATCCTAAAGCACTCGCATCAGTATGTAACTCGGTATTATACCTGTTTGGATCAAAAATTTTGAGCAGTGGCCTGCTCGTTAATACATGCTTTATGTCATTGAATACTTCCTGATGTTTCGTGGTCCATTCAAACTTAACATCAGTTTTAAGTAGAGCAGTCAATAATCTACTTCTCTCTGCAAAGCGTGGTACGAATCGTCGGAAGAAGCTTGCTAAACGTATGAATCTCCTTACATCATGCACGTTCCTAGGTGCAGGAAATTCTTCGATGGCTTTTACCTTCCGTGACCCTGGTTCTATACCGTCGCCAGAGATCTCCATTCCTAGATAACTCACTTTTTCCTTCAGGAACTCGCATTTAGATAGTTTTATTGTGAGTCCTGCTTCTTTTAGTGCCTCTAAGACTGCCACAAGTCTGTCTTTCAGATCATTCCAATCTTTGCCTGGAATAAGAATGTCATCCAAATAATACAATACAATCTTATCTCTTAATGGGCCCAATGCTTTGGTCATCAGTTTGGAAAAATAAAAAGGTGCATTCATCAATCCGAACACCATCCTGGTAAACTGTATAGTTTCATCTGGTGTGATGAATGCTGTTTTCTCCATCGCTTCCTTTGTTAATGGAACCTGGAAGTACCCATGAGCCAGATCTAAAACGATAAACATATTACTATTTGCCAATAGAGCTAAATGGTCATCCATGTTTGGTAATGGAAAATTCATTCGTTCAGTCTGCCTATTCAACGCCCTGTAATCTACAACCATGCGTGACTCTCCAGTCTTCTTTCTTGTTAATAATACTGGGCTTGCATACGGGGATTCAGTGTCTGTCACAATCCCAGCTTCCCTCAATTCCTCAACGATGCGACTGATCTCTTGTCTCTCTATGTTGCTGGCTCGATAGGGTTTAGCTCTAACAGGCCGGGTACCCGCTATTTCCTTTATGTCCATCGTCATGCTGCTGGTAAGACCCAGCTCCCATATGTTCTTTGAAATGCATGATCTGAAATCATTTAAAGTTATTATTAATTCTTTTATAACTTCCCTAGGCTGTTCTCCTATGTTCAAGTCAGCTTCTACAATAGGTTCCATCTCAGGCTTCGTCTGACTGCTTATTGTCCCAACTTGTCCTGTAAGTATTGTAGTTTCTTTGGGTAGCAATATTGGTTCACTACTCAAGTTCAATACTGGAACTGTCAACTCCGTTTGTTCATCTGTTACTTGGACAAGATTTATTGTTTCTGGTGGTAATGTCATATCACCGGTGGTTCTGAGTTTCTGTACAGCGGATTCTACCTCCATGTTAGCAAATGGATAATCCTTATTATACATGAATGTTAGTTTGCCATTCTCCGTAGTATAATAAACATGTGCTAACTCTGTAAATAAACGCCCAATGATTACGTCCACTGTCTGTGCATCGTCTGGCACTACTCTGACAGGAACATCCTTGGCGATGACTCCGTCCACCTCCATAGTAACAATTATTGCTGCTGGTGACTCCAGTTTGAAGTTTTCTGGCCCCCAGCTCTTCAGCAGCTAAAA